TTTCCACGACATTCTAATTTATTGAGATGCACCTGTATTTATGCAAAAATGAAACAACATACTCATTCTGACCTGTACTTATTAAAATATATAAAACAAAAAGTCACTAAAGTTTACATTTGATTATATTATATGTTTATTAAATGTATTATGTTTTAAATGATTAAAAACCTCTAACAAATGGGTAAAATATATAATTTATATAGGAAAAACGTGTGACATGCTGCTCCAAAACTTTCTTATTCCTTGATTTCAAGAATGAAACTAGACTTAATAATACCGTTATTTGCATTAATAATTTCTTTGAACCATTTGAAGGTTTTAAAATGCATATTAATCAAACTTTTATTCTCGTCTTTATAATTTAACAATCTGTCTGTTCTATTTCAAAACAGTCTCTTTCACCTCAATATATTTCTCAATGGAAGTAAAGGAGTGTCTGATATCATATTTTGCTTATAACCTTTGACAGATATTTTATAACTGACAAATATATAGTAAGGGTGAACAGAGGTCTGAATCACATTGCTAATAGTGATTTGTAATTTAAAGGTCATAAATTTTGTTTGGCCAAGAAATTACCTTCGTTATTCATTCATGCCACTGTGGACTAAGTCATTTTATGAAGAAACCAAGAAGTCAGTGGTTCTCAACTAGCCTAGTTTTGATTCAAGCTTTTTTCTTCTCCCTTTCAACAGTTGATGATCATATTAATTTTGCTCTATTTTATTGTGTTTTATTATTTAACAGTGATTATTCCCTGTCAGAACAGAACTGTTTTCCACCCGTTGAAAGCCACTGATCTTGAACCACATTGGCGAGTTCAGCAAATTGAGTTCTCTCATGTGACATGTTCCTCAATTAGCCTAAAGTGTTGAGGGTCTAAATTTGTCTTCTGAAAGTGTGAGGTTGCTGCTGATAACATTTTTAGATTGATGTTACTGATGCTGAAGTCTAAGCTTGGTTTTATGGTTGTTTCCAACTTTAATGGATGAAGAATATGGAGGGTTTCTCTCTGAAACTATAATGTCTAATGGGTGTGGGACATCTTGTTTTACAGGTGTCTTCAGGAGGAATAACTCCAGACTCATGGAGGAAATCCTGAAACAGCAGCAGGAGCTTTTGGGAATGGACAGTTCCAAATACTCGGTGGAGTTTATGAAGAACGGTACATATAAGCAAGAGCATCAAGGTGAGGCTCAAATCCTGAGAAAATGACTGTTGCTTTTTGTTTGAGACGCCCACTGTGGGTGGGCACCTGTACAAACAGGTTGGATCAGAATATTTTGTCTAGTATGATTGCAGGTTTTTGGATATAATGGATCACAATGATAGTTGTTTATACCTTTTATCTGTTTTCATGGCTTGGGTTTGGAAAAGCAGGTTAATTCACTACAGGCTTTGTGGGAAAATGGAGAAACTTTTATGCAGTTTTTGTCTGAAAAGATTAATTTTTGCCGACCTCTGTAGGTCAGGAAATTGGTTTTATTTTTCAAAATATGCCTTGAGCAAGTCATCTTTTGAGGACCATATGAAACCCAATCCAGAGTGACACAGTGATACATAGGAAAACCTGTTTTTCTTCTTGTTTTACACCTAAGCTATATATATTTTCGGGCTCAATAATAAGTACTTTTTCAATAATAAGTACTGATCCAGTTGGACTAGTTGTTCATGCCAACATATTTATACTTTTCAAAAGTTTGTGGTCAGTAAAACAACTGTTTTCAGAATTGATGATAATAAGAAATGTTTCTTGAGTACCAAATCAGCAGCTTTGTAACTTTGTGTGGACTTGTTCACAAGATGTATTTAACTCTGTCTCATCACACACATCTGACTTTAGCGGAAAGACTGAGAGTTCATATTTAGTCACTTGTTCTGATTTACTCAATTTCTAAATGGAATATAGACTATGCATCACCCGGGTGTTTTAGTCTTTGTAAATGTTGTCCACACTTTACTTAATAAATTAAAGTCATTTTTTTCCTGTCTTCTATAGTGTTATCTTGTCAGTCAGTGGTGAAGGTCTTATCTCCAGATGATGGGCGGCTCAGTATCGTCCAGGCAGCCCAGCAGCTCTGCCGGGCCGTTGAGCAGAAGGAAAAGACGTCCAAAGACATTAACGTCACTGTGCTGGACTCATTACTCAGAGGTGAGGTTACAGCATGTCTGTTAGCTGACTAGCACAAACCCCGCAGTTAAATATGACATTTAGTCCTGTAATGTTATGTATATAAATGCTTAAGGACAAATATGTGTTAGTCTTTGAAAAAATTGTGCAACCACAGGTTGTATAAGAAGAAACATTTCTGCATAATTGAAAATGCTTTCTATTATTTTGACAAATAAATAAAATAAAGGATCCGGTCAATTATTTTCCTTTCTTCAGTGAATGCTGATAGGGATTACAAGTGAAGAGAAGGGGAAAAAATAAAGTTTTCAAAGTGCCTTATGAGGGATTTCAAGTGTATGCCAGTGAAATAATTTGTGGGATATTTTTTGTTGTATTGTAGTGGTGTCGTCTTCATCACAGTACAAGAGCAGAATAAATAGAAACACTTTTAGAGCTGTGAAATCTGATAATAAAAAAATATATCTGATATCAAACACATTGAAAATGCCAAACAGTAATATTTCACTGACTATTTATATGGTAATTTGACATTTCTTTATAGATGCAATGATTTAAACCTTTGATTTTTCAAATAAATAGACATTTTTTTGTGACTGAATCAATTAAATAAAACTTAGTCATTTCACCAAACTCACTCTTGTAAATTTACATTTTTATAAATATTGGGTCATATTAAATATTAATAATATAAATTATATACTAAATTGTATTACAAGATATTTATCTTAATATGATGTTTGTTATTATTTATAATATATAGTTACAATAATGTATCAAACCAAAATCTGCTTACAAAAATAGAATAGTATATATCTGTATCAGGAACATGATCATGTCAGATAACAAGGAGGCACAATGGAAAATATACTATTCAGGCCATCAGAGTGATGAAGAATTTTTATAGCACAACCTCTGATTGCAACAGTATGAGCATCATCGCTTCTCTGTGATTGCAGCTCACTGAGCTCACTCTTCCTGGAGGATATGAGAGACAGATGTTATTCAGGACCGTTTTTGCTTTTTCTATGGTCTCCAGGATCTTTTCGGTTACCAAAAGAGCCTGTAGTGTTCTCATTATTCATCTTCAGAAGCCCCTCAGGCTTTTTCCACTGAAACCTGTTTTTTTCCCCCCTGTACAGAGTCAAAGAACATACCAGACCCAGACCTGGTGCTGAAGTTCGGCCCTGTGGAAAGCACACTTGGGTTTCTTCCCTGGCACATCAGACTAACAGAGATTATGTGAGTACGTGTATGCATTGATGTAATTGAGCAAGCACAAACTATACAGAATGCAGGCAAGTTCTTAAACCATAAAACGCGTTTTGCCTTGTACAGAACATTTTAAGTTTTCTTCTTTTTGGTCCTCTGCTCTGGCTTTCTGCACGTCTTAAAGTCCTAATTCGTTCATCCACAAATTAAGGCCGTAAAAATTTCTTAAGTCGGAGCAGAATGTCTTAAATTCATAAAGTCGTTGCATGCATTGCAAAAAAATAATATCTTATTTTTTTTGTCTTGTTTTTCCAATACAAATCATTTCCAAGAAATAATGCGGGATTGGTAGCAGAAACTGTGTGCTTTGACATAATTCCGTGCGTACGGTGGCATTTTGCCTGGAGAGTTTACTTAAATCCTTTCGTGTGATTATCAGCACATTTTAACAACTAAACCCATCCACGCTGACACACTTATCTCTGGAAGCTTTCCAAGCGTGTGTGATGACGTGAACAGCTCTGTGAGATCACTGCACACATGCAGACTTTCACCGCATTGCATCATACAACCATCATCAGTGTCCTGCAGTGTGACAGACTCCATCTTAACTGTTTTAAACACCAACTTCTTGCCAAATTAATATGCATGGAGTTTTTACCATATCAGATTGTGAATGATAAATGTGCTGTAACTACTATAATTAAAGGTTAAATAAATGTAAGACATGTACACAAAGCAGCTAAAAATACGCTTTTCGTTCTATATGTATTTTAACCCAAATTCTTGATGTTGGGTGAAAAAGCACAAATTCATATGCTTCCACTTTTAAAATGATATAACATATCCTGTCGCCTTATCTTAAGAAGCAGAATTTAATAGAGAAGGAAACCTGTATTTTTCCTATTCAGTGATAATTGCAAAATGTATTGAACTAATGGAAAACGTACATTTGCATTGTTCAACACTGTACGGTTTTTGTGTTTCTCTGAGCTTCCACTAGATGGCAGTGTGTTACTGCACAGATTCACTGCATTATTAGCTAACTTGATCCTTTAGTTTCTCATCCATGTAACACATTCAATCTTCCATGAAGTGCCAAACAGGAAATCTGAATATATAAATGCAAATTGTGAATATATAGAAGTAAATCAAAATATATTTTTATAAATCTGAATTTATAAATGTGAATCACAATATAAAGATGCAAATCTGAATATATAAATGCAACTCAGTATATGTAGTTGAAAGTCTGAATATAAAAATAAAAATCTTAGTATATAAATGTAAATAATGAATATAAAGAAGTAAATCTGAATATATCGTTTTAAGTCTTAATATATAAATGTAAATTGTGAATATGTAGTTATAATTCTGAAAATATAAATGTAAATTGCAATATGTAGATGCAAGTCTGAATATATAAATGTAAATTAATATATATAAATGTAAATCATGAAGATGGTTATTATTCTGAAAATATAATTAAATCGGAATATATATATATATATTTAAAAATCCTGAATATATAAATGCAAATCTGAATATCAAATCTCAATGTAATTATATCTTTAGTATCAGACATGCCAGTAGACAGTTCTTTATTTAAATTTTTTTTTTTTTTAAAGAAAACAGAATGCCTGTACATCTTGCATACATGTATCAGTGCAGATATTGTACTATATTCATTATTGCATAATTAATGCATATCACTTATCTAAACCAAAGGAAGTATTTTCCTTGAAAAAAGGCAGTGGGGCTAAAAGATCTTCACAGTCAGTGACAGTGTTAATACCTAGCTTTCTAGACAATTCAACAT